TGTAAAAAGGCTGCAGCCATCTTAACAGGTTTGGCTTGCTCCAGGGCCCCCACACCGCCCCTTTTCGTTCTATCGCCCCCCTGAAAAATGAAATCGCCCCCTGGGGGGCATTATTGCCCACGTTAAGAACCACTGGTCTAAAGCACTGAGCTCTCCAGCAGTTCTTCATTAATTCATTCATTAACTTTATTTAATTCAGCCAGTTTTATAATCCCCATTTCACAGACCGCCAAGTTGAAATTTGCAAGGAGAAAGAGAGGCAGGATCGTTGTTACCTGCCTTCCCCGAGGCATGGCTGAAGATATAAACACATGCCTTGGAATTAAATCTACTCAGAAGTAAGTTCCCTGGGGATTCACTCTCCACTCCAAAGCCCATTGCCACGGCAGCGGTTTTAGGGTTCCCTAACATTTTAACGTGGTGGCGCTGCGGGCTAAACCGCAGAAGCCTCTGTGCTGCAGGTTCAGAAGACCAAGCAGTCGTAAGATCGAATCCACGCGACGGAGTGAGCTCCCCATCGCTTTGTCCCAGCTCCCGCCAACCTAACGGTTCGAAAGCATGCAAATGCGAGTAGATAAATAGGGACCACCTCGGTGGGAAGGTAATAGCGTTCGGTGTCTAAATCACACTGGCCATGTGACCACGGAAGATTGTGTTCAGACTAAAACGCTGGCTCTATGGCTGGGAAACGGGGATGAGCACCGCCCCCGAGAGTCGAACACGACTGGACAAAAATTGTCAAGGGGAACCTTTACCTTTACCTAACATTTTAAGCTCCTGAGAAGAGCAGCCAAGACATAATAAAAATCCCAAAGAGAAATGATCTAAATGTGATTTCTGAATCTTTATTCATTGATTAAAATGATGTGCACACCTCTTTGGAGATCCGCTGGGAGCCATTGACTAGGAGGAAGAGGCGCCTCTTACAAGCTAGTGGGTTTATTTCAGCTGGATCCTTTGGGGATCAAAATCCCCTTCCTTGGAGAATGAAGCTCAGCCGCGGTGGAGTTTTAAAGCCACAGATGCCCTTAGTCCATTTTTTGCGGGGTGTGTGTGTTTCAACAAAGCCAGGTGCCGGGTTCAAGCCAGGACCGGACCCAAAGCAGAGACGGTTCCAGAAAGAGGGACTGGTCCTTGGTCTCGGTCGATCTTGGGGCAAGTTACACGACGGGGTAGCTGGCCTGGCTGGCCACCCCGCAGTGGTTGTCGAGGCCTTTCACCAGCCGCATGTAGCCCCCTTCGCCCCACTTCTCCGACCAGCTGGGGGAGGAAAAACAAGATGGAAAGTCCAAGAGAAAAAGGGAAGGATTAGAGGTCAGTGGGTTTCGCCAGCCTCCGTCTCGGTTCGGGGAAAAAACAAACTTGAAGGCGAAAGAACCAAAACGGGGAAACCCTTCAATGGCCAACTTCGGTTCTGGGGGCTCAGCGCTTAAGACGGGAAGAAAATAATTTTCCTTTCTCTAAAAACTGAACGCCAACACAACAGCGTTCAGTTTCGGATCGGGTCCAGAGGTGGTGAGGGAATGGAGACGGGCCAGTTGGAACAGGGGGCGTCTGGGTTTCTTCTCTCACACTTTGGGCCTCATCCTCATCATCCTGATCATCTTAGAAGGACAGAATTGGAAGGGACCCCTAAGGGTCATCCAGTCCAGACCCAGTCCAGGAGCCCCCATGGGGAATTCGAACTCCCAACCCTCTGGCTCTGCCACCGGAGAGCTTCACCCGGCCGAGCGACCCAGCAGGATCCCGAAGGATTGGTTCCGACAATCCTTTCCCTGTCTGGCCACCGGAGTCTTCTCACCGGCTGAGTTTGACAGCCTCGTTCCCAGTGGCGGAGGCATGGGATGGTGAGTTTGAATCCTCCTCCCCCGCCGCCACCCCGCCAGGCCGGCTGTCGCCCTCCAGAACATGTGCAGCAGATAGGGGATCCAAGCAACAAATCCATCATCACCCTTTCTCCCCCAGTGGGAATAATCATCATTTTAGAACGGCAGAGCTGGAAGGGACTCCAAAAGATCATCCAGTCCAGCCCCTGCCAGGGAGGTCCACTGGGGGGGGGGGATTTGAACTCCCCACCTCGGGCTCCACCACCAAGGACCTATTGTAGCAGTTCTTGAATCTCTCTTTTCCTCCCCTTTCTCTCTAAACGTCTCCGGCCCTCTCCCCAAGCTTGCCCCCTCGGTCGGTCACCTGTTCTTCAGGATCCAGTACTCCGTCAGCGTCCCACCTTCCTGGACGGCGCCGTAGCCGACCGACAGCACTGCGTGGTTCACCAGCTGGCCACACCAGCTGCTGGCAAAAATCCCTAGGGGAGAGGGAAAGACTGCTTAGAAAAGGGGACAGAAGGACGGAGCGCCACACCTCGTGTCCTGTCCTTCCTCTCTCCCACTCAAAGCTCGGAAAGGTCCCTTAAAAGATAATAATATTTTTTTAAAAAAACTACAAATCCCAGAATCCACAATAACCATGTTGACAGGATTATGGGTGTTGTAGTCTTTTTATTTTATTTTTTAAAAACCAGCATTTCAAATCTTTGCTCTGAACACCACTGGGTTCAATTCTTTGGAAAGGAGGTTAAATCCTTCAGGAAGAGCCTCAGGAGGCCAACGGCCGAGCCCTGAAAACCGCTCCGGCTTCCCGGCCAAACCACGCCCCTGCCTTACCTGACTTGTAGAAGTGGAAGAAAAAACTCCTGGCGTCCACAGCCACCGACACCGGCCCCACGGTGGCCACAGCTTGCGCCAGGGCTGCCTCGCTCCCCGCCTGGACCCGCACCAGGGAAGAACAGTTGCCGGCCCGGATCCGAGGGTCGTATCGGCAGCCGGATTCCTCCTGCGTGGAAACGAGAAGCAAAAGTCGGATTTTTGATGGATTTTGGGGTGCTTTAAGGACACGGGAGGCCCTGAGGTTTTGAATGGAGCGAAGGCGGGAGGCAAATTTCGGGGTCCAACGTAGAAACAGTGCTTTGAAAAAACAACAGCTGCCATCATCAGTCCAACAAGTTGAAACAGAAACCTTTTTGAGCTTCATATGTGTACAAGGGCAATATAGAAGTTTTTTTTAAAAAAGGTACGTGTCCTTCCTCTCTATTTTAGTGTCCCTGCTCCCTACGTGCATTAATTATAGCTCACACCTTGATCTATCAATCAGGGTTTTAGGCATCTTGCTGTGGAGCCAGATGCCGGGAGTTCGAATCCCACCCTGCCTCCCAAGCCTCCTTCACAGAGGCTGGACTAGATGATCTTTAGGGGTCCCTTCTGGCTCGGCAGTTCTAAGATGATGATGATGATAATTAACAACAACAACAACAATATTAGAAAACCCCAGTTTGATGCTTTCGAATCCAAACCCAAGCCAAATACCCATACGTTCCCCAGTTCAGCTAACGTTCCTCCTGCCAAAGGGGGTCACACTGTGCTTCTGTGTCTTTCTGTTATGGCAGAGGAGCCCCTCGGAAGGAAAAAGTTGGCCACCTTTCCTGCAACACAAACCTGATTCAACCCGGAGAGGTGCTTTGAAAGAGCCGATCCCTCCAAGCCCTCCACCCCGATGAGCAGCTTCCGGTTTTGTCCCTTGCATGCTCTGCCTTTTATTTAAATTTTACTTTTTAAGCCCTCAAATTCTTTTCCTTCCAGAAGTTTAAAAATAAAATCTGCCCATGAGGGGAAATTCGTAATTTTCGAACGACAAACGCAGGCAACGCGCTGGGTGCTTTTTTCGATCCAGAACTCCCGCTGAGCCCGGAAGCCTGGGGATTCTGGGAGCTGTGGTCCAGGGAAAAAAGGAACTTCTCGAAGGTCTGCGGATCCCCTACCTTCTCCACGTAGGGGTAGTCGTGCTCAGAGTTGATGCCGCCGTTCTCCCGCACGTACTCAAAAGCCTGGGTGATGTACCCTCCGTGGCAGCCGCGGTTCCCCACCTTCCAGGAGCAGTCTATCAGGTTCTGTTCACTCAGCGGGACCAGCTTCCCGGTCTTGTTGAACAGCAAACCCTCCAGGGCACCCGTAGCGCTAAACGCCCAACAGGCCCCACAGCGGCCCTACAAGCGGAGAAGTCCGAGACACCACACTGGTTCCAGTTAAATACGTATGCACTTTATGGCGTTAAAAATGGATTTCACGGAGCTATTTCAGGAATGGTTCTAGTTTCCAGCCTCCTGGAGAGCTCAGGGAGTGAAAGCTCTGGCTGTGGAGTCAGGGGTTGAGAGTTCGAATCCCACCCTTCCCACCCCCAGTGCCTCCCAGGGGAGAAGAGCCAGCCTGGGTCGCCTTGGGCCGGCTGCGCTATCCCAGAAGACAGGAATCACGAGCCATTTCTGGGTTTTCTCTATCTTAAAAAACCCTGGAAAGGGTCACCGTCAGTCAGAATTGACTTGACAGCACACAATGATGATGATAATGATGATGATGAATGGGGAGTTTCTGTGGCCCAGCGGGGATTTGAACCCAGGTCTCTGATTCCTTGCCCAGCCCTCGATCCACTAAATCGTTCTGGGTACCAAGGACTATAATGACGAATACATAAAACGTGTTCAGCGTGAACATCTAGAGATAATTGTGCTGGGGGGGGGGGGCTACCGCCGCAGCCACGAGAAGGACTAGCCACTTAGCTTAGACCACAAAGACTAACAACTTAGCTTAGACCATGAGGACTAGCAGCTTCAGTTTAAAAGCAGCCACAAAGCACCCGCTGAGCCCTGGAGCCATGAACAGATCTTCTTTCAGGTTGATTTTGACTCACCTGGTTTTTCACGGGGGTAACGTATCCCTTCTTACGCCAGTCCACTTCCACAGGGACATTGAGAGTGGGCGATTCTCGGAGTACGTGGGATGCTTTCCCGCGCCGCTGGGCCGGATCGGGCCGGAAGCCGTTCAGCATCTGATTAAACTCTTCATCCGTCTGGCAAAGGAAAGCAAAGTTTCGAGCAAGGCCCGGAGAGATTCCAGAAACTATATATTTTTTTAAAAGTCACTTTTCCAGGGGCTTCTCTGTTATCTTGAAACAGAATTCATAGGAGCTTGGTAGAAATGTAAAAAATGCCAGCCTGGGAATGTGCCTGCTAATAACAAAGACAAGGTTGCCTCTGAGCATATGTTAAAGGCTTTGCTACATCAGCTTCTGAGTGCCACAATTCCTTCGTTTTAAATCTCCAGACCAAGCCGACAGCTCCTCTTTGCCTCATAGGAACATCACTGTAACTATAATACTGTATCTTTCTTCCCAAATCAGTTAAGAAGCTCCCTTATCCCTTTGGCAGACTTAAATCATAATGACTTAAATCCCCACCCACCCCCCAAATATGCAGGTCCCCGGGATGGTCCCTATGATCAGTGAGGAGCGGGTCTTTTCTAAGGCCAATGGCTCTTAATGGCCCATTCAGAAACATCCCTTACCAAATCCCCCAGGTGGTTCATCCCCAGCCGGTAGCTGTGTTTCCCCTGCGATGCTTCCAGATTGTGCTGCTCAATTCTCTGCAGGTTCTTCTCCCAGACCTCCCGACGGAAAGCCTCGTCATCCTGGCAAGCGGAGAAAAGCACCCATCCTGCGTTACCCTTCAGCGGAGCACTAGATCTGGACAACCCCCTCCCCTAATCCTGGACCGAATCAGCCTGATCCGGATTTATTTGGACAACACCCAGAGAGAAACAGGGTGGCCAGAATCAGCCTGGGGGTGAAGGGACATGAATTTTCTGGTGGATTGTTTAATTGACTGGTTCAACTTGGATTGATTCGTCTCCAATTCTTGTTTTTTTTTTCCGTTGAGATGCCAAAATTTGGAGGTGCGACTGCTAAAGAAGCAAAGCCATCCAATTTCAGGTCACTATCTTCAGCGGACTGCACACTCTGAAGCTTGCAACTAAACTAGGAGGTTAAAAGTATTTGTTTCTGAGATCCAAACCCCAGAACCCAATCTAGCCATTCTTCACTGCAGACCTCATAAAAATTGCCGCAAATCATTGCTCCGATTTGGAATCTGGGATTCGTCGGCGACGGATGCACAATCCGAAACAGTCACATACGGGCCAAGAATCTCCAAAATAATCCAAACAAGGCTGGGGGGCTGGACCCCAGCTGTGTATGCTTACCTCCAGGTATGCCTTGGCATGCTCTTCCTTCCACCCTTTCCACGCTCCCTCCAGGGCCAAATCCAGCGCAGTGGAGCAGGCGCTCAAGAAGACCAACGAGGCCACCGCAAGAGCTGGAGGCATGTCTTCGGCTCGGTAGGCGACCGCAACAACTTTGCAAGGTTGGGCAGCTAGGCAAAGAACTCTCGGCAAAAAGGTTGCAGTGCACCCTTGATCTGATCGGAGACTTGACATGAACATGTATGGCAGTGTTAATTAATTAATTATTGTAAGAATAATTAATTAATTAATTAGTTCATTCCTTCCTTTGTTCATTTGTTAATTCATTCGTTCATTCATTCATTATTTTGTTCATTCGTTTGCTCGTTTGTTCATTCGCTCATTCATTCAACTTTTACACTTCCCATCCGATTAGTGGTCCTTCTGTGCAGTTCACAATGCAAATTAGTTAATTCGTTAATCAACTGCATTAAAGCAACCTGACTTCACAAGGTTTGGGGTTTTTTTGCTGTTCTCTTGGCCACGAGAAGGAAACAAAGGGTCAGAGTCTACTTCCCACTACCAAGCCCATCTCTTGTACACATCCAGCCACCTGACCCTCTGCAGAACGCTGCAGGCACGGATCTTGCCCCATCGGGTTGGTGGCCGACGCTCTTGCAAAAGGGGATGTGGAAAGAAAGGTTTTGCAACGGGGGGAAAAAACCATGCATCTGCTCCCCCACTGTGAAAAAGCAAGCAAGAAGAATTTATGGGGCAGGCACCCCTTTGTTGACAACCTGCTGGAAGACGGTTCTGAAAGCAGGCCTGTGCCTTCTATAACAAGGTTGCCCCTTCCGGATGAATGTCATCCTCTTACTCCCGAGTCACTGGGGTCCCTCGTCAGATGGATGCTTAAGGAGAGGATTTAAGGCCAGGCGGTTTTGTGGCTTCTTGGTCTCTTTCTGGAAAGCTTTACCGTATCCCTCTTCCTTTCTGCGCTTCTCACCCCTTGGGGCTGTCATTGGGGGTTTTAAGGCTCCAAGCCATTAAAGGGTCCTTTCCTTAGGAGGAAGGCGGGGTAAAAATAGGAAGGAAGGAAGGGCTGAATAGATGGGCAGACAGATGTACAGATAGATAGATTGGGGAAACTCTTCCTGCTGAATAGAGAGCTGGCCCATCGCTCCACAATTTCATTTTCTTGTGGATCAGACTGAAGCGACAGCTCCCTTTTCCGTCCTTCCTCCCATCACCAGCGCCTTCCTTCCTTCCTCCCATCACCAGCGCCTTCCTTCCTTCCTCCCATCACCAACGCCTTCCTTCCTTCCTTCCTCCCATCACCAGCGCCTTCCTTCCTTCCTCCCATCACCAGCGCCTTCCTTCCTTCCTCCCATCACCAACGCCTTCCTTCCTTCCTTCCTCCCATCACCAGCGCCTTCCTTCCTTCCTCCCATCACCAGCGCCTTCCTTCCTTCCTTCCTCCCATCACCAGCGCCTTCCTTCCTTCCTTCCTCCCATCACCAGCGCCTTCCTTCCTTCCTTCCTCCCATCACCAGCGCCTTCCTTCCTTCCTTCCTCCCATCACCAGCGCCTTCCTTCCTTCCTTCCTCCCATCACCAGCGCCTTCCTTCCTTCCTTCCTCCCATCACCAGCGCCTTCCTTCCTTCCTTCCTCCCATCACCAGCGCCTTCCTTCCTTCCTTCCTCCCATCACCAGCGCCTTCCTTCCTTCCTTCCTCCCATCACCAGCGCCTTCCTTCCTTCCTTCCTCCCATCACCAGCGCCTTCCTTCCTTCCTTCCTCCCATCACCAGCGCCTTCCTTCCTTCCTTCCTCCCATCACCAGCGCCTTCCTTCCTTCCTTCCTCCCATCACCAGCGCCTTCCTTCCTTCCTTCCTCCCATCACCAGCGCCTTCCTTCCTTCCTTCCTCCCATCACCAGCGCCTTCCTTCCTTCCTTCCTCCCATCACCAGCGCCTTCCTTCCTTCCTTCCTCCCATCACCAGCGCCTTCCTTCCTTCCTTCCTCCCATCACCAGCGCCTTCCTTCCTCCCTCCCATCACCAGTGCCTTCCTTCCTGCCTGCCCCTTTTCTGCCTCCTTTCAGAAGCACACTCAGCCAGCCAATCTTCCGAGCGACAACGAAGCAGGCTTTTCCATTTCAAATGGGGAGCAGCCTTCCGCCGCTCAGCCAGAGAACAGGCCCTCTCTCGTTTCCTCTGGTGGCTCCCAACCTTGCAGGTCCCCAGACTCTGGGACTACAACCCTCAGCCTCCCCATCCCCTCCTTGTGCTGGCCTGGACTTCTGGGAGTTGTAGTCCACCTCCCGTGTCATTCCACCCTGGCTGTCTCCCCCCACCTTATCCTACAGCAGTTTCAGGCCAAGGTTTGAGCGGGTGCCAATCTCCTCTTAAGGATGATGTGCCATCATGTCCATTCTAAATCACGGTGACCCTTCCCAGGGTTTCTCAGGTAGAGGAGATTCAGAAGTGGTTTCTCCCCCCCCTTTCCTCCTTCTTCTTGGGATGGGGCAGCTTTTGTCCCCAGGGCCACCCAGGCTGGCTCTTCCCCCAGGAGGCACAGAGGGCAGAATTCCAACCCCCCAGCTGGCTCTTCTCCCAGGAGGCACAGAGGACAGAATTCGAACCCCCCCCTCCGGCTCCGCAGCCAGAGACCTCAACCCTTGAGCTCTCTCCACCCAGTTATGGCCAGCCTGGCCAGCACCTTATTCGACTCTTGGACCCTCAGCCCGCAAAACCAGGATCTGGCCACAAATCCAGGATAATTCTCTCTTTTCACTTACCTTTTTTTTCCCCCCAGGAAGGAAAAGGCCCGAGATGGTGGTGGTCGGCCCGTATCTTTGCAGGAGCAGAGCTGCTCTAAAAAGCGCAATTTCCTTTCCACTCCATCACACATCACATCCTTCTTTCCCCGACTGATCTTCTTTCACATGACCCCTCTTTACACAACGCAAGTTTCCGGAGAAACGGCTCAAAAACCACAGAGGCAGCACCCACCGGTTTGGTGTGGCTACCAGTTTTACGTCCACACCATAGCCGCAAAAAACAAAAAATGGCCGTGGGGTGCTGCGCAGGAGTTCCCGCTTGCTCAAATGCTCGCTCTCTGGTTTTAAGAAATCATCAAGTTTCTAGTTTCTTTTAAGGGATGCTGGGGGAGAAGACCTATGCCATTCTCTGGGAGGTGGGTGGGAGACCCCTTGTCTTGAAGGACCAGTGTACGAACATGCACACAAACACAGTAGGATCCCCCCCCCCCAGTATCCATGGGGTGATCCTTTCCAAGCCAACCCACGGATGCTGAACAACGTGGATAACAGCAAACATTATAATAGTAAACCGTATGCATAGCAGGTTCTATTGCTCCATTGTTTATACACACACACAGAGTACAACCCCCTTATCTGTAAGGTTAACATCCGCTGATTCACTTATCTGCTCTTTTCCGTCCATAGAAACTACTGTATATATTTCTAATGCCGTTCCCAGAATGGGCCAGTAGAGGGAGCCAGAGAAAGGCACTTCTACAATGTACTTACCAGAACCAGCCATTAGAGGGAACCCAAGAGCATGCTTGGAATCGAGTTCACTATTAAAATAGTGTTCACTATACTGTAATCCTCATTTTTCCAAGCCCTCATGGAGTGGGGGCTTGGAAACAAGCCCTGCGGATATGGGGTGGTGTCCTATTGTATTTCTCAGGCTGTTTCTTTTCAGGCAGCACTCACCGCTTTGGTGTGGCTACCAGTTTTACATCCACAACATAGCCGTGGGGGGGGAAGGCCGTGGGGTGCTGCGCAGGAGTTCCCGCTTGCTCAAATGCTCGCTCTCTGGTTTTAAGAAATCATCAAGTTTCTAGTTCTTTTAAGGGATGCTGGCAGAGAAGACCTATGCCATTCTCCGAGAGGTGGGTGGGAGACCCCTTGTCCTGAAGGACCAGTGTACAAACATGCACACAAACACAGTAGGATCCCCCCCCGGTATCCATAGGGGGATCCCTTCCAAGCTGACCCACGGATGCTGAACAACGTGGATAGCAGCAAACATTATTATAATAGTAAACCGTATGCATAGCAGGTTCTATTGCTCCATTGTTTATACACACACACACACACACACACACACACACACATGCACGCACACACACACACAGAGTACAACCCCCTTCTCTGCAGCAGTATCCATGGGGTGATCCTTTCCAAGCCAACCCACGGATGCTGAACAACGTGGATAACAGCAAACATTATAATAGTAAACCGTATGCATAGCAGGTTCTATTGCTCCATTGTTTATACACACACACAGAGTACAACCCCCTTATCTGTAAGGTTAACATCCGCTGATTCACTTATCCACAGCCTGAAAATATTAAAAGAAGCCCCCAATATATATTTCTAATGGCATTCCCAGAATGGGCCAGTAGAGGGAGCCAGAGAAAGGCACTTCTACAATGTACTTACCAGAACCAGCCATTAGAGGGAACCCAAGAGCATGCTTGGTATCGAGTTCACTATTAAAATAGTGTTCACTATACTGTAATCCTCATTTTTCCAAGCCCTCATGGAGTGGGGGCTTGGAAACCAGCCCTGCGGATACGGCGTGGTGGTGTCCTATTGTATTTCTCAGGCTGTTTCTTTTCATATGTTTAGACTGCGGATAAGTGAATCAGTGGATACCGAAGCCAAGGCTTCGAGGGTCCTCCCATACCGAAACGCAGACGGCTCCCCGCACGGAGAACCCCACAAAAACAACACAGAGGCCAGAGAACCGCACAGTGCCGGTTTCCAATATTTTAATGAGTCACTACATCTTACCACTCATAATTATAAAAGAATAAGAATCCATAAAAATATTTTCTTTTCATAATACGCACTTAAAAGATAACGCGGGCAAATCATGGGTGGTTTTTTTGGGGGGGGAGTCGGTTTGTTTCTTCTTCATCGGTTCTTGCCCCCCTCCCGAGGCCGCCAGCACCCCCCCCCAAGATGGGTCAAAGTTTTCGCCTTGCTTGAAGTTTCTCCCTTCCTGTCCTGGAGGGGAAAAGTGGTGTTGGGGGGTTTGGTTTTCTTCCCCAGAAGGTGCCAACGGTGGGGAAACATCGCCCCCGGGCCCGGCTGATTCAGGCGGCCCACGGACACGGTCGCTCATATGGAAATCGGTTCTGTCTGACTAGCGTGGGGCAACCCGGAGGTCGGGGTCTGCGTGCGGATCCACTGGGGAGGGGGTTTGGAGGGACACGGGAGGCCAGATCCCATGAGGACGGGCAAAAGAGCGAACAGTCGTTGGGGAGGGGGTTTGGAGGGACACGGGAGGGCAGATCCCACGAGGACGGGCAAAAGAGTGAACAGTCGTTGGCCCAGAGAAGTGACCCAAACGCCGAGGATCCCCCGGGAGGGGGGAGGCAGAAAAAAGACAGATTTGGGCTTTTTCGAAAGGAGGGGGAATGGGTCCAGACTCGGCATAAATAATCTCGCAATGCAAAAAGAAACTAGTTCCCCCCCCAAAAAAAACACCCCAGGAAAGAGCAGAGGCACCGCCGTCAT